GGCCAGCAGCAGCAGCAGCAGCAGCAAAAGCTGGGGTGTCTGTACAGAGGGCCCTGCGCGATCTCATAGAAAAACACTTCCGCAGCAAAGGAAAGTATGCGAAGGCTGTGCGGCTGCTGCAGCAGATGTGGGGTGCCTATTTCAGCAGCAGCAGCAGCAGCAGCAGCAGACCTTTCTTTGGGGCTCTTGTTGCTGCTGCTTCCTCAGATCTCGCATATTCAGATCCCCAGGGAAGACAGGCTGTGTCTTCTCTTTTCAAGGAGCGCGTGCTGCCGCTGCTGCAGCAGCAGCAGCAGCAGCAGCAGGAGAAGGCAGAGGCCTTCCTCAGACTCGCGGACGCCCGCAAGCAGCAGCAGCAGCAGCGCCTGCAGCAGGAGCTTGCTGCGTCCGCCTTCCCGCTGCACAGCAGCAACTCCAGCTGCTACAGCAGCAGAAGCAGCAGCAGCTTGCTGCAGCAGCGAGCCAACGCTGCAGCAGCACAGGACGTGGCGGAAGCTGCTGCTGCGGCTATGATGCGTGCGGAAATTGCAGCGCAGCAGCAACCGCAGCAGCAGCAGCAGCAAGAGCAGCAGGAACCTGCAGGTGAGGGCGGTGCGAATAGCAGAAGCAGCAGCAGCAGCAGCAGCGGAGCAGCGGAGCTCAGCCAAGAGCTGGTAGATTTGCTGCATCTGCTGCGGGTTCGCTGCGTAGTGCATCCGCAGCTAGAGACAGATGATGCATTTCAGTTTAGTGCTGCTGTTATGGAGCTGCGGCTGCTGCTGCAGCAGCTGCAGCAGCAGCAGCAGCAGCAGGACGAGGAGGAGTCGCTGGAGGACGGCTGGGACTCCGAAGATGAAATGGAAGAACAAAATGAGGAAGAGGCGCCACAGAGGAAGCAGCCCAGGCTAGAGCAGCAGCAGCAGCAGCAGCAACAGCAGCAGCAGCAGCAGCGAAAGGAGCAGCAGCAGTCCAACGACCCCAGCACGTCGGTAGGTCGCCGCAGCAGCAGCACAGGCAGCAGCAACGGCGACCGCGGCA